CTTGTTCTGTTGATTCAACTGAACATCTGTATTTATTAACATTAAGGGAAGAAACTACTGCTTCATAATGTAGCGCCGATAATCTTTATTTATTAAGGGAAGATACTATTTCATAATTAAGTGCCAGTAAGCAAAAGACTGAAGTTGAAGTGCTCATGTGTGCTCTCGCAGATGAAGGAAACTGTAAAATTTTTTGCATATCTTAATTCCTTTACAGGAAATAAAGTAACAGTTTATGTTTGTCTAAACGAAAAGTTGACTGCCCTTTCCCTTTTTTGTGCATAGCAAGAAGACAGACAAATTCAGGAGTTACAGGGATTATGCGGTACATGGATATTTCTTACTAAGAAATGTAATTTAAAGAGCAGTCACGTTTTTCCTTAGGTCTGGTAGATGGTTGAGAAAATGTGTTTGGTTTTTTTTTTTCCGTAGAAAGCCGTGTCACATTTAGATCATACTTAAAAACAAGCGAGCAGCCCCTTCTCCCTCAGCACAGATTAAAAAGCAAATAACCAACCACAACAACAAAATAGTCCCCCCCAAAAGTAAGCCAAAACCATGTAAGTCTTTGGTTTGGACTGACTACCTAGAACTTGCAGCCTAAAAAGGATGTTGTTAAGAAAGATGCCAAGAGGTAGGTAGAGTGCAGTGACTATGTTCTTCAGCATTGTAATGTTACTTTCCAGTCGTAACTGAATCTTTTATGAGATGGTCTTCAGAAGTTTTACTCTAACCAGAGTTTTACAGCACTTGTACAGTTCTTGTTCTCATTATGTGGGCCCTGTGGAATAGGAGTTGGGGAAAAGTTACAGAGTTGGACTCCAGTAAAGCTTTAAAGTGAATGAGTGACAAACAGGAGTGGATGGCAGACTTCTAGAGGTGTCTTTCATTTGTTTATGTTCATGACATCCTTCATAATTTTTCAATAAAAAAGTCACAAATATGATGAAGATGTATGGGAAATCAAGAGAGGGGAAGGTTCGGCATATGGTTATAAATCAAGGCAGAAATATTAGAAAGAGAAACAAATCTGTTCCCCCACTACCTTGATTTCTTTTTGCTGTCCTGCTCTGTCTGTGGGATGGGTGCTGGGCGCTGCATTAGGGTTTTGCAGCCAGAGCTGAGCACCAGAGGACAGTCAAGGCTCTAGAGTGAAACTGAGTAGTGTACTTTTGGAACGGTGAATGAAGTATGGGAATGGCAATAATTTCTCTTCCATGTAAATTACTTTTTTTAAAGATAGGTGTCATACAATAGTGGATTTTACAGGCGATGCCTCTTCTCCTGACCTGTAGTAGGGATATTTTCAAGGGTGAGTGAAGTGCAGTTGTGTACTGAGCCAAGTACCGTTTTCCAGATGAAAATGTCTAGTGGTATGCATGTATATTCTTATCTATATTTTTTTGATGTGTGTATATATATATATATATATATATATGTATGGCTGTGTTTTTAAGGTACTATTTAATAAGCTTTATTTGCAAATTGTATGATTGTGTTTTGATTTCTCAATAGGTCTGGGATAAAAGCGAAAATGGGGATTGGCATTGCACTGCCAGCTGGAAGGTTTGTATTTATAAAAATTACACAGACATAACCATAATTTATCCTTTGTTTTTGAAGAAACATGCTTCATTTCTGCTGACTTATATAGTAGAAATAATTTTTTCTCTGCTTTTATAAAACATCTCTAATGTCTCTAATTTAAAGCAGAGGCTAACATGCAGTCTTCTGTACTTAGTTATGTTGTCAGACTTTGGTATCAGTAAACATAACAGTAACTGGTTTAGGGAGTTGAAAAACAGTACCTTTGTTTTTAATTGAATATTCTCCTTTTTGCATATAGTAAGACTTAAAAAAAAAAAAAGGGAAAAAATGAAAAGGAAGAGGTCTGGCTGTTAAATGTTACAACATCTGACCTCTGTTTTTCTTTCCTCCAAAACCTTTCTGAGAACTCATATAGAGACTCTGCTTCATCTGGATAATTAGTGCATTCAGCTTCTGAATTGTCCTTAAATTTGTATTTATTAGGACCACAATGCATTCATACCTGTAAATGGAAATGCAAGTGAAGCTTTTGAATTCCCCTTCTCTAAGAAAAGAAGGTTGAATAGGTAGAAAGAGGAGCTTCATATTAAAAAGAAGATAAGCAATGCTCTACATATGCTTTTGAAAAGTATAGGCAAGTTAGAAGTAAGCATGGTAATGGCTGAAAATTGACTGAAAACAAAGCACAACTTTTTGCATCAAGGCAGAATCTTAGTTTGGAACTTAAAGTATTAATAAATAATGTTTTGAAAAACACTTGTAATAATTGCTTTTTAAACACTTATTAATAGCAACAAAACCTTGCAGTGGTGGTTGAAATAAATGCAACAGCTGCTGTGTAACTTGGTATAAAAGAACAGAGCTTTCAAAGGAACAGGAATTCCCTTCTGCAGAAGCTCATAAAAATATATAGTCTGTTGGACTAATGCAGTAAGTATGCTTCTTTACGGTGTTTTGATGTTCTCTTGCAGACCCATAGTGGATCTGTGTGGCGTGTGACATGGGCACATCCTGAATTTGGGCAGGTCTTGGTTTCTTGCTCTTTTGATAGAACAGCAGCTGTATGGGAAGAAATTGTGGGAGAGTCAAATGATAAACTCCGAGGCCAGAGTCACTGGGTGAGACTTGAGTTTTTTTCTGTTAATATAAAGTGTTCCTGATTTTGCCTATGTTTTGTTCATTTGTAGCAATACTCCAATATAAAGTAAGTATTTTTACAACGTTTGGGGAAAACAGCTAAATGGCAACATTCAGACCAATCACTGTCACTGTTATTGGTGTTTCATAATAAGGTATTCCCTGTCAAACAACTTGCAAATGTGAATTTCTATCTACAGTAGAATTTAAGTTCTTAAACAAGAGCTCATTCAAAACTGTCTCATGCTGGTCTTTTTCGTCTTTCAAACAATAGATCAAGGTTCTTTTGGGAAATAAAAAATTTTACTCAGAAGTAAATTTTCAGGATAGCATTTCATCATGGGAATTCTAGATCTAAACAGACTATTTTCCAGCTATGCTTTATGTGTAGTACTATTCCTGCCTCTAATGTTTTAATTTAAGTTACTAAAATACCTGCAGTTTTCTACTTTCTGCTAAAGTTTTCTAATGTTAAAATACATATTGTGAGGAGTTGGATTGTCAAGATTGTTGGCACCCAGTGGATTATGAAAGTTCACTTCTATGTGCAGTTGTGATCATGGTTTTCGGCTCAAACCAGGCTCAGCAGGCTGTCTTGGCAGGAGAGGAAATTACTTGGAAAAGAAATATTTACAATTTTTTCTTCTTTAGCTATTCATCCTATTCAATGCCTGCTGCATTTACCTGTTCCCTTATCAGAAGCATTTATTTCGGTGCTTCAGTGAGAAAATGCTTCATGATAAACTTCAACAGTGCTGAATTTATAAAGCGGTGTCCTTAGACAGGGCAATTAATGTTGTCACCAGTATGAATGAAGAGGATAGTTTGAAACTGCCTCTGGCCAGTACTTTTTTCTTTTGTGCTTATGTTACATGGTGATGCTTTTTTCTTTTCCTGAAGAGCATAATCTAAACAATTCTTTCTGGTATCAGAAGTTTGATATCACAGTGAGGTATCTCTTGATGCTTGAATTTGCATCACTGTAACAATGATCTGTCATTTCTCCAATTTGTTGGTGAACAAAGTTTGTTTTTTTTTTTTAAAGTTTTTGATGGAAGATGTTAGTGATCCTATGAAATGACGTTGTCAGACTTTGTTTAGCCTTCCTTAGGGAATAAATTTTTGATGGAAATTTCTAGCATTTCTCTGAAGAATCTCTGCCTTTTCTTTGCAGGTCAAGAGGACCACTCTAGTGGACAGTAGGACATCCGTTACAGATGTGAAGTTTGCTCCCAAGCATATGGGTCTTATGTTAGCAACCTGTTCAGCAGATGGAGTTGTAAGGATTTATGAAGCTCCAGATGTGATGAATCTCAGTCAGTGGTCACTGCAGCATGAAATTTCATGTAAGCTAAGCTGCAGTTGTATTTCTTGGAATCCTTCAAGGTATGTTATTAAAACTATAGGCTTTGCTTTGTAACTGCTTAAGCAGAGGAGTGAGTTCTGAATTTTTGTGGAATAAATCCTATGGAGAAGATTGAGTGTACGTTTGGGTACATCTGAAACTTTCTGCTGAAATTTTTTTTAATAAAGGAAGTTTGGGAGAGCCAGAGAAGTGTTACAAAAAATCCTCCTGTGCTCTGTGAGGAAATATTCCCAGTTTAATTATTTTCAACAAGTAGCAACCTAAAAAGCTACAGAATGCTTTTTATTTATCCCATAAAACTTAATTGGGATTTTGATAAAAGAAAGTGTTTGTAAAGGAACAATTCCTGTGTTTTTCTTCTTTCATTTAGAATGGTGTTGCAATAGATAATAATTTTGAAAACTTCAAGAAGCACATAAACCCTTGCCAGTGCAGCAGAGTAAAAGGAGCCACAAGAGTCTTGTTAGCACAGATATGAAGCCCAGGAGTTGTTCTTTTAGTTCTATCCTCAGGGGGGCTCAATGATGTACTTAACCTTCTTGAACTGGACAGAATCAGAGGGGAGTCCAGTTGGGTAGTCCCTATCCAAAAGAACACTTGCATGCAGAGGTTCTCCTTTGTTTCCCGTCTCATATCCTCCCCCAGCAATAACAGGAGGGGAAAAACAATTCAAGGCTGAACTAATTTGGATTCTGTTCATCCAGAAGCACTTAATTGCTTCCCCTGTAGACATAATGTTGTGTCCTGCTGATCCAGTTATTCTTTTATTCATTAGTAGTAGTCTGTGCTGGAGGTTCAGAGTACATACAGGCTTTCACTTTAGTGCGTGGAATAGAGTTAAAAGTTGATTTAAAAACTATAGTTTATATACATTTAGCTTGTGTAAGCTGTCTTCCAAAACCTGAACAAAATGACACCAATCAGTCATTAAAAGCAGTGCAAAGAGTGCACACTCTGCCATGAAACTTGTGGCAAATACTAGACTGCACCATGCATATGTGAAATCAACCCTACTCTCTGGGAACATCATCTTGAATTGCCAAATAATGTTTCCTAATCATTTCACCATAGTGAATGTATAAAGTGGGCTTTTAAAACATCAGAGTGGAGGTACTGGTAACTATGAATAGCACTTAACTTGTTTCCTTGTGATGTTTTCCCTTGTCGTATTTTTTTGTTATTGTTTTGGGGTTTTTTTATAGTGTTTTAAATTTAAAAACTGCTTGGTGAACTTTCTGTGGAATCATTTGTGAATTTAACAGTATTTGTGTTTGCATTTTAGCTCTCGAGCACATTCTCCAATGATAGCTGTAGGAAGTGATGACAACAGTCCAAATATATTGGCAAAGGTTCAAATTTATGAATATAACGAAAATACCAGGTATGCTAAATGTGTAACATTTGTGGGATCATAAAGTAGTTTATAATATATGGTCTTTTATTTCTGTCACTAGATGTGAAGTAGTAAATGATAATAGCTTAATTTTGTCTATGAGCCATTGGATGGGAAAAGAGAAGAAGACCTCAGAATGGCAGCTGATGTTTACAAATATGATATTGATAATTTTATTCCATGTCGGTGAAGAAATGCCACTGTTCTTACCAGAACTTTAAAGGAAGATTTGTTTCGCTGTCTCCTAATTTATATGCTTAATTTTGCACAAGGAATTAAGAGGACAAAGTTGAAATTTGAACTGTGTTGCATGAGGCGCTGTTTTGTTCAAAGGCACCTTAAAATGATTTTAAAGGCATGATTATAATATCAGAAAGTCCTGTGAATTTCTAATGTTCTGTGAAAGTTCACACAGTCAAGAGTTCACAGAACCAGAAAAGGCCAGGAAGTGTGTGCACCATCACTTCAGTTAAATAACAGAGAAATTGTGTTTGATTCAGAGTGATTGGTGTGGATTTATGCCTGCCTTCAGACAATGCTCTCTGTGCATTAACAATAAAGACAAGTTGCTTTATTTACCTGGTGGTAAATAAAAAAAATGGGATACATGTTTATCATACAGCAGAGGAGGCAGGTAGCTGTCCGCTTACAACAGAAAATGTAGTAAGTTGCTGAGATGCAAATTCCCTTTAGATTTGTGAATGGAAGAATCTTTTTATTTCTCTTCCAACTGTGGACAAAATGTTCTTTGTACTGGAATCCTTGCTTTGTTGTATGATTTAGCATACTGGTTTTAGTGGTTACTGTATCTGATGTATTTGATTTCTGAAGAAATCAGCTTGAAATCATTACTTACAATTTCTTTTAAGAAAATACTTTTGGTTTTGCGAGTCTTATGTATACTTAACCCTTTTTCCCTGTTCCCCTGTGTCTGGTTTATATAACCTGCATCACTGGCAGTTTTGATGGCATTAAAAGTTATTTTCCTATGCTGTACAGAAAATATGCAAAAGCAGAAGCTTTGATGACAGTCACAGATCCTGTACATGATATTGCATTTGCTCCAAATCTGGGAAGATCCTTCCATATCTTGGCTGTAGCAACCAAAGATGTACGAATTTTCACGCTAAAACCTCTAAGGTGAGCTTAAGAGGAAGATGGTTTGGTATGATGTGATATTATGGTTTTATTTTAGTAGTTTAGTAGTATCTATGAAGAAACAGTAGTAACTTAATGTATGCAGGACTTTTTTTTAGCAGCCTGATTTTTAAGATGACAAGATTGTGAGCAAGTCTGTAATTTTTGTCTGAATACCCTCTTAGCACTCCTCATCTATTAACAGTTGTATAAACTGCTTGAAAGATGTATCCTCTCTTTCTGTCGTCACGTTCAAACCCAGACCTTTGAACAGGTGTGTGCAGAACTATCACTTTTGTCTTAAACAGGAAAGAATTGACTTCATCGGGAGGATTAACAAAATTTGAAATTCATATTGTGGCACAGTTTGATAATCACAACTCCCAGGTGTGGCGAGTGAGCTGGAATATTACGGGCACAGTGCTTGCCTCCTCTGGTGATGATGGCTGTGTTAGGCTCTGGAAGGGTAAGGTTACCCACTTGACATATATTATATTAACTTTGTAGTATGCTGGACATACTGGAGAAATTTTACTCAAAACATAATTTTGGAGGGAAAGTTCATTTTAGATTTGTGAATTTTTTTATATTTGTGTTTACATTTCAGAAAAAGAAAATAACTTTCTGTGCTGGAACACTTGCATGATTTAGGCTGTTGCAAATAGTTGTTCCTGTACCCTGAAATTGTTTCACCAGACTAGAGCTATATAAAATTTTAATTTTACAAAGTAACATATGTACTGCATTACTGTCTTTCTCTGATGCTAAACCCAGAAAATGTCACAATGTTCAGGCAAACTGGCTTTTTTTCAGTTTACATTTCCAAAAGCAACAGCAAAAACACAAAACCAAACAAAAACCCACTGCTAGTTTCCTTATACATTTGCATTTGTTTCTCAGTATTTTAGTAGTGGAAACTGAGTTTTAAGTTGTGGATAGCCAAAGAGTATCAGACAGCTAAAGGGTCAGATCCTCAGCTATTTGGAATTTATATTTTGGCATTGAAGTTCCATTCTGATTCACACCAGGTGTATGGTAGTTGAAACATATTTGTAGGGAATGCTGAGCTTTAGAAGAGAAACTAACAGTTTTTATATATCTATATTTGCAGCTAATTACATGGACAACTGGAAGTGTACTGGTATTCTGAAAGGTAATGGGAGTCCGGTGAATGGTAGTTCTCAGCAGGGAATTTTTAATGCCTCTCTAGGTTCAGCCAATACAAGTCTACAGAATTCACTAAATGGATCATCTGCCAGCAGGTAGGTTAATTAGTAGGGAGACTGAGTTTCAGTAAATGGTCTCTTCTCTGAATCTTCTTAATTTCACTTAGCTTTCATGTTTGTTTTACGTATTTTCAAAGTGCAATACTTCTGCAGGCTCTTCTGATTTTGCTTTGTGGTGTTGTCTTGCTGTGCCACTGTTAAGGGGAAAATGAACAAAACCGTAAGCCACACTGAATCAGAATGTATAAATAAGCAATGTAAACAACTATTTTCACTTCTAGTCCTTTCACATTATTAAAAACAGCATTTCTGAAATAGTTTCAAAGAAGAAGCTTCATCATAACTGCTGTATAACTGCCCTTTTGCTTTAGATTCGTGTTTAAAAGTGAAGCAAAAATACCAGCAACAAACTCTGTTTTTCACTGGGGTAATGTAGCAGAAGGGAAGGAGGAAAAGCTACTTCATAATGTATGGTTTCAACAATCAAATACTACTGTTAGTTAACTTGCTTTTCGCAGGTGTAGCATCAATTTTGTGGTTTTTTTAATCTTCCTTATATGGCATTTGTATTGCAGATAATTTGTTTTAATCTCTGTTAGGTTTTTTTCTATAATAATTGCTGTTTAGTAGGTAAATTTAACTACCTCTTCTGAAAAAGAAACATTTAAATTTGTGCACACTGAAATGTAGAAATACACTGAGCCCCTCCTCTGCATGGTGGAATCTGTACACTCAGCTTGACAGGACTGTAAATCTTATGGAAGGACTAGATGTTGCCAAATTCTGTAGCTGCAGTTTCCAAGTTTTGTGGCCACCTTTATTTTTTTTCTATTGCCTTGGCATAGCTTCCATTTCCATCCGTGCGCAGCTCCTCATGTGGCTTTCTTTTGGTTTAAAATGCTGATCAGTAAAGTTTGCTTTTGGAGAGCAGCACTGTGTCATCATTCCCTGCCTCTCCTTCCCTTTCAGCAGTCAATCCTGAATGCCAGTTCTGGCTTCCAGATCCCTAGCTGTGTTGAGCAGAGGAGGGCTCTCACATTTTCCTCACAAGATAAATGGGACAGCAAGGGGTGGTAATAGTCCCACAAAAAAGGGCATCAGAATCATATTGGTCATCTGCTTCCATGTTCTACTTGCAGTGCAGCAAAAAAATGCTGAAATACAGCCCTATCTTGGGAATAGTATATTCAGAGCTGTGTAACTCTTTGTTTGGGCTCCTGTGGGGAACTACAGGCTATTTTGTACTCGTTTTGCATAGGGTGTGGTTTCTCAATCTCCTTATCTAAAGCGTGCTGCCAGCAAGACTACCCTTCCCTACCCCACCCTTTTGGTGGTTCTTCTCCTGTCCCTGAAGTTGGTAGTAAGCCATTGTGAATCTGGAACTTCTAGCATTATTTTTAGACTCCCTCGATTGCTTTGCATTTTGGAGGGCTTTTTGTTTTGTTTTTTAATAAATTATTCTTGGCTCCAATTTGTAACAAAACGTTAATTCCAAAATTATGTCATTGGCTGTGCAATTCCCAAACATACAGTGTCTTGTCCTAGGACTGAGCCTTACTATAAAAAATATATGCCTTAACTCCATGTTTTTCTTTGTAGTAACGCTGCCTTGAATTGCGTAAGCACAGTTGTTAACTTTTGTGTTAGTGTTAAGACGCTGGTAAAGATTGATGTATTGACATTGAATAGGTATCTTACACATAATTCATTTTGTCTGTGACTCTACATGCTGTTTCAGTGTCTATACATTTAAACACTTAAAACAGCTAAAGAATATGCAGATCTGAAAAAGTTTGTAAAAGCACGATCACCACACTGGATTTGTACTCAAAATTAAGTTTCAGAACAGGTGATATAGATTGTTGCGAAATAAATCAGTAGGGCTATATTGTTATGTTGATGTAATTGTGTGTCTAGATTTATGATACAATTTCCATTCTCCATTTGTATTATGTCCTTTTTAACAGAAAGCAGAGCTGATACCAAGCTAACTGGAGTAACTTTGGTGTTTTGCTGCTTGTTGCATGCACACAGGAATGGAAAACGAACTCCTTTTTCCCCTCCCCAACGCCGTTTGACCTCTCCCAAGACACCAGCAGCCTGCTAACTACTAAATGCTGTTCAAAAAGCCTTTTTAAAACACGTTGTGTACACTTTTTTGTACTAGCCTGCACAGTTTGATACTATTGGAACTCCTGATAGAAAAATATTTGGAGAGGCTTCTTGTTTGGAAAAAAACCCATAAACAACCCACCCAAACCCCAAAACTTTCATCAGAACGTATTATATGAAAGCTTGTCAAATTAAAAGACTAGTTCATGATTAAAAATGAGAATTTTTGTCCTTGTTTGGGATGGGAGGAGGGAAATGACCATTATAATAACTTCCATTAAAATTGTTTTGAGAACCAATTTGTTTTGCATTTCATAGCGTTCAGCATTTGATTAAGATTCCTAAACATTACAAGGTTGTAACTGCTTTGTAATATATGAAACTGTTAGTTTAAAGGGAATAAGAAAACTGTTTTGACAATTGTACAGATGGTAGCTATCAGTAGTTTGGGTATTGCTTCGTTTATATCCCTTAGTATGACTTCAAATAAATGTTTTATGAGTACTGTCATACTTTCGTCATCATAAGAGAAGTACTTTTTCTGATATGTATTTGTACATTCCTATGGTAATAGTTCCATGGAGTACCTAAAATTCTCTAAACATAGCATCCTTAAGAAATGCAAACACTTTAGCCATATAAAGGTAGAAACCAAAATGCAGCTTGTTGTGAATTGTCCCATAATTTCATTAATTAGTTTAAGAGCTGTTCCTTTCTGTAAGTCCACAGAACTGTAAACAAGAGAGAAAACATCTGTAGGTATCTAATATAATTATGCTAAAATGCACAAGTGTTACGGGTAAGTTCTAATAAAAACAGCAGCAAAATGACATGAAGTGGCATAATTCCGAATCTTGCGCTCACCAGGAATCTTAAATTTACTCTGAGGATTTTGCAGCAATATGTAAATACATTCAAAGGCTGTATTTCATTGAAAATAGTTATTCTCTATAAATGTGTATTAATGTAAAAACAATGATGTTTTTACGTCTATTCTAGAAACGCTGTGAAGTTACTCTGAATTAGATGCATATGCAGAAAATGTACTTTGGTAATATTTAATGTATATTTTGTGTCACAAATGAAGCGTTACTGAAGGCTGTTAACAAATCACAGAAATTCTGGGAGAATGAAAACCTGTTAATAGCTGTACCACACCATCCTTTTGATTTCCAAAGCAATCCATTCTTTTGTAAAAATGTATACTAGAACTATGACTATGGTATTCTTTTCTATAAATTTCAGTGGAAAAGACTGTATTATTTTGCTTTAAAGAACAATTTCCAGATTTGTCTTGTTTTGAATTACAAGCCTTGATTTCTGCTATTATGTTCTATTGGTTTTGGCATGGATATACTAAAGCCTTTTTTTTTTTCCAGCATGTCTTTTCTCCCCTTTGGTTCTCCTTGTATTTACTACCTTTCTCTTTTTTTCTTGTTTTGTTTTTTTGTTTTGGTTTGGTTTTTTGTTTTGGTGTTTTGTTCCTTTCTTAATTGTTTCAGGTATTTCTTTCCCCCTCTGGATTCCCCACGGGCTGGATCGAGATGGTCCAGTCATGCCCAGCTCCTTCCTCCTCCTCCTCTGATAGAGCAATCTTGCGATGCTGACACTGCCAACCTCCAGTATCCTCACCCTCGCAGACGATGTGTATCTCGGCCTCTTAATCTATTACCTGAGAATGAAGGGGTTTAACTTGTTACTTTAAATAAACTCTGAAGGGCCTTATTCTGGTGTTTGTGAATGCTTCCATTTCTGGCTGCCTTTGTATTCCTTCTCTTGTACAGAAGATTTTCAAAAATTTGGGAAATTCATGCATGTTTTGCAGAACAAACAAGAAGATTTAGAACCTGTTACTTGTGTATCAAAGCAACATTTTAATTTGTACCCTTTCAACTATGGCAACACATACAAACAGTATTAGCCATGAGCTATTTATGGAGTAGCTGACTTCAATGTGCCTGTCCTTTTTTCTTTTTTTTTCTTTTTTTTTTCTTTTTGAAATCAGTTCAGTACGGTCTTTAATTTTTTCTTTTTGTATACTGCACTGACATGTGAAACACATTCTCAGAATTAAATGTGTGTTCAAGAAATTGTTGAGAAAAGTCGATACTGGATCAGCTCATAAAGGAAACAAAACCATTCCTGTGTATACTGCAGCTAAATAATTTGGCTCGTTTGGTTTTACTTTAGAATTTTCCATCTTGCTGTATAAATATTTAAATTTTATAATTGTGTTTGACTAATAAACTTGTTCTGAAAGATCTGTATTTGTACAGTTTTCCTTGTAATAGGCTTTTTTTTAATCTGTTCCTGATGAAGGAGGGTTTTGGATTCAGGTGTCCATTCTCCTAGCTCTGCTTTTGTACTGTCATGTGCCATTCCAGATGTGCAGCTGCATATTACATGTGTCTGCCACAGAATGTGCTCCAACTTTTCTAATGGATGCTGAAGGTTTGTGGAGACTGCTAGAGCTGTTGGGTTTCACATTATCTCATAATTCTTTTTCAGTGACTGACTGAATCACTTAGGACTTTCTGAAGAAAGAGTGCTGACTTAAAAGATGTGTTCCAAAACAGAAACATAGTTCCTGTGTATCTGCGTGTTGGCATTGACTCAGATGTTGGTGCAAGACAGGTGGAAGGGTAACACTGGACAAAGAGTATGTGGTAGTTCTAGGGAGTAGCATTACTGTACAGGATGTAATTGCTAAGCTTGTTCGGCAGATCTCGGGGGAGGAAGGAAAAAGGAGGCTTCTGTGCAGCAGAAATCCAAAGTGTAATAGTGTATCTCAATGTGCTTCAGAATGGGTTTATGATACTTCCTGGAGTAGAGCACTAATATAAGGTAACGGAGAGGGCAGCCTGCATCCTTCCAAAGTGACAGCAAGTTCCTGTGAGTTTTACCTGTATTCTGAAAACTTTATTTGTTCAGATCCACCACTTTTGTTTCCTTATTTTTCTCTGAGGAGTTTAGTCTCAATTTACTAAAAAACCATGAGGTACACTGGTCTTAAGGGGTGGTTGCTTACAGTGTGTGAAGGGAGGCTGCTGATACTTTCCAGCCAGCAGGAACAGAACTGTGGAAGAAAAAAGTTCTATACCTTTTTACCAGAAAAAGTTAACACTTATAAAACTGTGCCATACTTCGTAAACAACAGAAATGTTACATGATTAGAAAATAAAGTTTAAATGGAAGGTGGGAAGTAACTATTCCTCTGTGAGAGAATTAATAATTAAAAACCCAACAAACCTATCAATACTATTAAGGGATTCATTCCTAACAACTGTTAGGAACAAACTGTTTCTGGGTATGCCAGCATCAGAATGTACTTTTGAAGGTTTAAGCCACTTGCAGAATTTCTGTCATAACCCTTTAAAAGATCACAGAATATCCAGTGATAGTAATAAATGACAATATTTTTGCAGCTTTTGTGCATTTTTGCAGCTTCTAGTGCATTTGTTTACAGTTTAGTCAGCATGGTCACATTATTTTCCTCTGTGATGAGCACGTACTGTCAGATATCCTAGTTCCATTCGTAATTCTTACTAATGGAAACATGCTATTACAGTTGCAGTGCACACAAGTCGTGTTAGGATGAACTGCCCATGTACTTTGACCTCAACAAATGAACTCAGGCTGGTTTTGTGGCTCAAGCCTGCCTTTCCCCCAGCCTGCTATTTTGTACTGACCTCTCTCCAAACCTGGGCCCTTCAGTCCCTGTCTTTGGCTGTCCACCTCCTCTTCCTCAAACTCATGCTTCCCTTTTTATTCGTCTGTATTGCTTCCTTGACTCAAAACTCTGAACTGTGCTTTTGTGCAGGATCTGGGCCCTTGGGCATAAGCAGCAGAACCCCTAGAAGGGAAGGCGATAATAGAAGGGCTTAGGAAGGGATGGTTACAGCAGGTACTTGCGATATTTTAAATTTATACAGCACTTTGTAAGGCTTCTGTCCCTTTTCTTCTGAAAGAAGATACACATTATCTCTTATTCTCTTTCCAGATCACAGAAAGAGTACCAGATATGCTTGGACCACATCTCAGCTTCAACTTCTAGGACTAGAAGTTTTTGGGTCTTGTAGTAGCCATTAGGCTTTGGGGTTTTTCATGTGGTGGTTTTGCTTTTGTTGTTTGCTTTTGTTTTGAATGTATTTGAACACAGTATGAACTTCTGATGATGTTGAATGTGTGGTTTTTGCCTTCTCTATATCAGGAATACAGTTGTAGAAGTGCACTGTAAAAATGTCCTGGATAACACTAAATTTTATGTAGATCTGTTGTTGTCATACACACACACACACACACACAGAGATGTTTGGAAGGCACCTGCTGCCTTCTCATCCTCTACTTAAAAATCCCATTATATTTATGCTTCAAGATGGAAATGAAGTTTTCCATGTACTGTACATGAACTGAACCACAACAAGTTCCACCTCAACGGGAGAAAGAACTTGTTTACGTTGAGGGTGGCAGAGCACTGGAACAGGCTGCCCAGGGAGGTCATGGAGTCTCCCTCTCTGGAGACATTCAAAACCCACCTGGACGTGTTCCTGCTCCAGGTGACCCTGCCTTGGCAGGGGGGTTGGACCAGATGATCTCCAGAGGTCCCTTCCAACCCTAACGATTCTGGGATTCTGTTGATCAGCCTCATCTAAGTGACTCACGTGGCAAAAACGGGACATATAACAGTGAGGAATATAAACAACGTCTGTCTTAGAAATAAACAAAAGTCATATAAATTAATCCGACTGAAGCTTTTTCTTTTTTCTTTTTGGGCGGCTGTGCCCTGGCCGAGACAGCCGGGCCAGGTGGGCTGGTCCTACTCAGACATCCCGCGTGGGATGCTCAGCGGCCTTTTCCCTGGAAGACCCCGAGCTACTCGCCGGTACCGGGATCTAAGCCTAGCCGGCCTGAAAGCAAATACCGGAAACAAAACAAACCGATGTCATTATCTCATTCCCAAAACAACCCCTCCAACGTCCATTATGCCGGGAAACATCCCGCCCTTACCGCTTCCCGCCTAACGGACGCCAGAACGCGGCCGAGGGGCGGGGCTGGGCGGTGCCGCGCGCCCTTCGCCCAATCAGCATCTCCGCCGTCCCTCCCCAAGCTGCTGCCGCGGCCGTGTCCCGTCGCCGGCCAATCGCGGGCCGCTGTTTGGGCTCTCCCATTGGCCGGGCGGGAGGGAGGGCGGGACCGGGGAGGTGCGGGAGGTGCGCACGCGCCCCTGGGGCTGGGAGGGGCCGGTCCCGGTCCCGCGGTGGTTCCCGCGTCGCGCCAGGTTGCGCGGGTGGCGGTGCCCGCCCGGCCTGCGGGGGCGCTGCGGCGGCGGCGCGGAGCGGGGCGGGGGTCCGGGTTTTGGCGGTCGGTCCGTTCGCGGGCGCTCCCGCTTCTTCGGGGAGAGCGGCGGCGGTGGCGGGACCTTGGGAGGGCAGAGCCCACCAACCCCTTCCTGTTTCGGGTACGAGGGTGTCGCCGGCTCCCAGCCTGCGCGGGGCGCAGTTGCTGGTGACAACCGGGCCCTTCCCACCGCTCACTCGCCGGGCCGAGCTGCGGCTCGGGGCACACACGGGGGTTCGTGTGCCTCAGGTGCTCGCCTGCCGGGGCCAGGGAAGGGCAGGAAGGCTCTGCTGCCTCGGTGCGGCGCTTAGCAGCCTAAATATAGGCTGGCACGTCTCGCGGCCGCCGGCTCTCTGTAAGCTGCTCTTTTTTTGGCAGTCCGGGAAAGCTATAAAACAAAGTCTTGGCGGGAGAGGGTCGGGAATGGTTCTTAAGCACGTCTGTGGATGAAGCGGGGTGATTACCAAAGAACATCGGCTGTGAGGTGTGAGTAAAGCGTGTTGGCTTGTGTAACTCTCTGTCTGCTTTGCTCCCGCTGCTGCAGATGCTGCCGGGCCGGGGCTGATGGTGTGGCCAGGCCGGGTGCTGCTCTGAGCAGCCTGTGCAGAATGATGGAAGACTTCAGGAATATCGCCGACGAGACGCTCCCGAGCTTCTTGGGCTATTCCTTGAACAGCAGCGCGAGTGTCGCCTTTGAGAATGTCACTGTCGCCTCAAACCCAGGATTACCTGTGGCGGCCTCCACTGTTGCCAGGAGCCAAAAGGGGTGTGACAACAGGTGAGACTGCTGGTAAATGCCACTCAGCAGGGTAAAATCCGTTTGAACCATTTGAAACGTTTAGCTTTTTAAAGGAAAAAAAGTCTTTTTACAGATTATTTGGTAGCTGATAAAACTGTTTACTAATCAGTCGCACAGTAATTGGCAAATGTTGGTTTGTCTGTATTGCCAATGAAAAATCTATATCAAACTAATGACTAGTAAAATACTTAAAATTTATTGAAATTACCCTTTAAAAGAGTAATTTCATTTTTAGACTGATAACAATCAAGTTTCTTTTAAGTCAAATCTTCTTAGTATAGTCAAGTTTGAAGTAATGTAGAGAATAATATATTTTTTACATATGTGTTTTCTTAACTCTGTTAACTGTTCATTGAACTTACCTGAATCTGACTCATTTTAGAAAGGGTAATGTAAGAACTAGAGTTATGGATAAGAATGAAATTCCTAAGCATGAATAATTAATTTAACACAATTTATAATGTTTTGCTCAGCAAGCAGCAGAGCAAAGAGTAAAATTAAAAGCCTTTGCTCACTTAACTGCTGTCCCGTGACTTAACAAGAAGTAAGATCAGACTTTAATACTCTGTCTTTCCACAACCAAAAGGTGGTTCCAAAAGGGTACCACTAACCATTAAAATTATAACGCGGTATTTTTCTAAAGAACTGCAGAAGGCTGGAGGAGATCATTTGGGGTACATATGTGTACCTGTAGATACAGATTAGCTAGAAAATGCTAAAATATTAGAATAACTTAACTTACAGGAGATAAGTGGACATCAGTATGATTTTCTTTTTATGCCATTCTTTGGAAAACAGGCGCAGTGCGTATTAGAATAATCCTGATTCCGATGTGTCTTTTTCCTCCCCAAATTTACAGGCTTTCTGATAACTGTGCATCCTATTTAGATGGAAAGCATTCATCTCCATCAGGGTCTTCTCACAGTAGTCAGTCAGGTCCTGAGCCAAGGCAGGGACTTGCTCTCTGCTTTCCTGATGACATGTAAGTAGATAATTAAAATCTAATTCTGTTCTAAAGTGCAGGTACCAGTGTGTAGAATGTAATTTATATGTACTATAAGCTAATTATGGACTACTTCAGAATTGAATTGCCCACCTCAGCAGCAGCTTTTACTACTGGCCTTTTGATGA